CTTTGGTTGTTCCGTTAGGCATCTTGGACAAGCCCATTCTTCATCATCTTCGGGAAGCTATAAAAGATAGATAAATTTGTTTAGAAGAAGATAAAACTTACCGCATCAGGTACAGGATTCATGCAGAATGGATGGTACGACGAAGGGCAATGATCACAGAGCAACATCCCTCCGCCCTCTTTGCAAACACGACAATATTCCAGATTAGCTCTTCCTGCTTCATCCTCTTTCTCGGCTGGTGGACCATGTTGCTCGCAATGTGGGCATGCCCAAACACCTTAATACACACGAGTTTAGATTTTGCAAAAAAAAAATTGATACCATCAGGAGGGGTCTCCATATCTTGATCAACGCAAACCAAATGGTATGCCTTTGGGCACGTATCACAAAGTAAAATCTCCCCTCCTTGCTGGCACACTTCGCAATAGTCTTGATGTTCTTCATCCAACTAAAAATCATGTTAAGCAGAAAATAAATTGTTACTAACTTGTCCTTCTTCACGTTTCTTCTTTCTGACAGCAGCGACCTTTTCCAATTCAGCTTTCTTGGTTGCGACTTTGGCAACAGCACGGGCGTGTTTCTTCTCCTCCTTTTCTCGGTCCTGGTCATCGAGTTGCTTATCGTGTTGTCGTAATAATTTTTCAAATTCTTGATCCGAGTTTCCTGAAATTAATAAGCTAAAGTTTTGCAAAATGGAAATATTTTACCTCCGCCCTCCTCATCATCATCACCACCACCGCGTCGACCCTTTTTGCGAGCCGAAATGCGAATTTTGATTGGAGCCACTTTTTCTGCAGAAGCGGGTGTAGGTGGTGCTTTCACACCAGTCTTCTTTGCATTGATAGCTTTCCCAGAAGCACGAGCTTCTTCCTTAAACCATTTATTACTTTTACCACCAACAGATAATAAATACCTGAAACTCTCGATACTTGGCATTAATCAAGGGGAGAAGCTTTGTTTGATTGATGCCCGGATTTGCCTCCATTACTCCGGTACGATAGAGATTCACCCAAGCCTGGAAAAAATTTTTGAATTAATAAATTAGAAGAATAAACCTTTAATGAAGTAATGTTTGTAAAATCTTCCTCCGTGTAGTCGATGGATGGGTCGGTGTATCCGTAGTACGCAGCAATTTCAGCGGCAGTCGAAGTTGCTGGATCGGGAGCGGTGTTGTCGTGCGACTTCCTTCCTTTCTTGCCTTTCTTTCCTTTGAGTCCCTTCTTTTTCCTCCCCTTCGCTGCTAGAATATGAAAAAGATAAAAATAAACATGAAATTTGCTAACCAGAAGAAGAGGCATCAGCCTCTTCGCCGAAATCCTCGTCAGCCTGCTCATCAACTTCTTCTCCGTCGTCGTTGGTCAGCATCGATTCATCCTCCATAGGCTCATCTAAAAATGGAATGCATTCCTGAGTTTCCAAATAATAAATAAACTTTTGCGATAACTTTATGGGCAAGTTGATTTACAGATCAAATAAGACACATTTCAGCACAAAGTTTCATAACATATTAGGCTGGCCGATAAGTTTCGTAGAATTTTTAATCAACTTTTAAAGTGTAATTTCTCAAAAGCAACTATCAATCTTTCTGAAAATTATACAGTAACTTTTAATAAAGGTGAAGGGTTTTGTGCCAAAAGATGAGATTTCCTTTCCCGTATAACTTTTTATAAAAATTGAAAATAACAGTTTTTAACGTTAACTTGATCTCATTTTTTTCACCACTAAAACCTCATAAAAAAAATGAAACGGCTACCACAAAACCATGTCAAAATCTTATTTAAAATTTTTAAAATCACATACTTTGGGTAAAGGCCCATTTGTTTTGCTTTTTTTGAGTTTTCCATTTTTACACTGACATTTCAAAAGAAAAGTGCGTTTTTTAAAACTAAAGCTTTATATGAAAAACGGTTCCAGAAGAACCAGAAAAATTTCCAGTTTTGTTTACTTCATTTTGTTTTTGGGTTTATCTTTTTATCTAAAAACTGGACTTTGGAAAGTTCAATTGAAGACAGCTCCCTCAAAAGGCGCCAGGAGCCAATCAACTAATGAAATCTTCGAAACTAACCATATGATTGGTCTCATATTTTGGAAAAAACTTTTCAATGATAGGTATATTTGCTGTAAAATTTTTAGAAAAATTGATGATGGGCTTTTTGAGAAATTACTTTAAAAGTTGATAAAGAAATTTTAGGAACTTATCGGTCAGCCTAATAAATAAACAGCCACGTATGCCTTTGAAAGCCTCACCTTCATTTTGATCTCCAAGATCCGGATGGTCCGAAGCTGAAGCCATCAAAACTAAAATATAAAGTTAATACCACAAAAATAGGATAAATTCACAAGAAAACGAAAGCACGGTTTTGCAAATAACGAGCTCTTAAAGAAATAGGTATGGAGGGTAGGGGCCTTGAGAAATGAGAAAAGACTTCGAGCATCGAGAGAGCGCTATTAAGTGAGAGGTGAAAAGAAAGAAAGCGAATCTGGCGCGGGTGAATCGAGGTTGTGACGGGGTCCAAAAACGGGTGTTCGGATAAGAGAAAGGACACCTCCGTACTCCCCTTTTGGCGCCCACCAAGCCCTTCCCCCCCTTTTTTTTGCTAATAAGTACCCATCTGCTCTTTTATGGATACAACTTTAAACTTAACATGCGAATTGGTGGAGTGATCGTGAAATGGCTTGAGTTTGCAATTTGCACAGTTAAAGCATCGGATAGAGTTCTAAGAGTTTTGTAATTTTTTACAGTTTTCCCTGCTAATAAAACTTTAAAGGCTTAAGCCTTTAAAGTAACTCCCAGGTGGTAAATCTATCATTATACTACTTGATTTTCACAATTTAAATAAAACTTTTTTTGAATGCAAATGAATTTGTTTCTTCCGATTGGAAAGGTCCAAAGAGCAAAATCACTGAAAAACAATCAAAAATTGTCCGGTTTTTAAATGAGCACAGAAAAAGATCGATATTTTGCCCACGGCAACTTTAATATAGCAAGTAAAGTAATCGAAAAAGTCGCAGAGAAAAGGAGGCAGAGAGAATTGTCGAGTGAACAATTGGATTTCCGCTCATCTTTTCGGGCAGATGTACAAGGGGGAAGGGGGGGGGGGTCAATCGATTGATCCACTCTTGAGGGGTTTCACCACAGGCCTACAGCTAGGTATGCTTTTTAAACAAGATTTCTCTTTTGTTTGCAACACTAACGCCTGTATATTAAAAGCGAGTTAGCCTTTTAAAAAGTGAGTAATCTAGAAAACTATCGTAATTTTTCCTTGAGCTTTGCTGGATTTACTGTAAATATGTCCTCATTCGAGAGGAATCCAACTGTGAATGGAATGGGATCAAAATTAAGCAGACAGTTTACTATTAAGGAAAGAATACGGTAGTTTTCGAAATTATCTCCTTTTTAGCAAATACTAACGACATCACAGAAACTTTAAAAGTTTAACTTTCAGTTGAAGATGAAGGAACCAACTGCAGCTCTTCGATTTTTCAAAACACTGCTCATCGCCTTCGCTTTCCTTTTGTTCGTGGGATATGGTAACTAAAGAAATGAGCACTCAATAAAATGACAATATTCAGGTGGACTGTATTGGATCGGCAATTTTCTTCACAGTGACTCGATTCCCCTTGTCCATTATGGTGTTCTTTGCATCTTCTACTTGTCACTGTACAAAATTTCGAAAAAACTCATTTGTGATTGTGTGCATTTATTGAAGGGATTAACATTGAAGGGCATTTAAACATGTATACACTTTAACACTTATTGAGATCTAGTTTTCCCTCTGTTGGAAGGTAATATTTTCATCTAATCTGATCCCATTGAATTGTCCAGCCACGAAATCTGAAAACAATTTGAAAACAATCTGAAAAGAAAAGGTTTTAAAGAATAACACACTCTAGTGGGAAATTGAAGCTACAGCACTTGGAGCAGAATTTATAATTAGTAATCTAGAATCAATTTCTCATTAAAATCTAACTTTATTTTATACGTTTTATACGAATTTATAAATATTTCAATAAAAATCGGACAACAATCTAACAAAAAATATAAACAAAAACTTTAAAACAAACATTTAACTTTCCACTGTCCAAGAGAAGCACATCGATCGCGATCCACTTTACAACGTTTTTCAATCGTTTTGCTCGGCTTATTTTGTGATTATCAATTTCATTTACATCAACTTGCGGTGCAAGGATTTGATTCCTTATAAAGTGCAGGGATAAATCCGTATAAAACTAATATCTATCCCATTTATATTGGACAAAAATGCAATAGTATCGTGCTCTGTAAAAGTTCACTGAAATTACTTTTTTTCCAGTAGAAGAATTTCTATGAAAGAATGTTTTGGTACTTTAGGCTTTGGGGGGGGGGGCACTTTTTTTCACCAAAACCATTCTTCCCGGGTAATTGATGATGCTGGTCACGAAAAAGTTAATTTTAAGACAACTTAGCAATGGAAAAATGTCCGTTTTAAAACTCAAGGTGCTATAGTAGTTGGCGGATTTTTTTTTGTCAAATGATCTGATTTTTTGCATCCAGAGGTTTTTGGCTATGCTGAATCGATTGACTATGGTTTCACACAACATTTCGTAACTTTTAACAACATTCAAGGCTCCTATATTTACTTAGGCTTTTACTCCACACCCTAGATACACGTGTCTCCTAGGCTATCGCCTGATTCTCCTACGGCTGAGGTGAGTTTCGAACCGGAAGCACGTGACTTCTAGCTGGAACGAAACTAAACTCAGTCGTATGAGAATCAGGCGATAGCCTAGGAGCCACGTACCTCTAGGGTGCAGAGCCAAAGCCTAGATAAATATATGCGCCTGTGAACAATGGAGTGGAGTAAACAATTCGGTCAGTCAAGACGTCAAAAGGTATTGCTTTAATTTAAGCTACAAGTACAAAAAGACTATTTTTCGTCTGAAATCTATGAACTTGTAAAGAAAAACTCGAAAAACAATTTATTAGCACATATTTAAGAAGAGTTTATTATTGGATCTTACGGACCATTCTGGCACGGTGAGAAGCCACAACCATTTCCGGTTTTTGCCTAGAATCAACAGCTTTTCAATGCAGTTGTCAACGGGCAGCTTTTCTCTTTCTTTTTCTTTTCAAGAACTTACCGTGATCACTTCACAGAGAGTCGCACAAACCACCCAAGTTGGTAGCATGTTTTCCCATTGTCCCAGCGGATACGTGCCACCAGCTGGATCTGTGGACGCAATGTAGAACTGAAAGAAATATTTTGATCAGAGCAGAGCAAATACAAAAATTGGACCTATTGTTTACCCGCAACCCTTCACCAATAAGTTCAAATCAATGCAAGTTCTTTTATATTTTAAGAGCTTATTTTTATGTTCTACATTCACGTTTACAAATTCTTAGTTAGTCACAGTTTTATGCGTGCTCTCAATTCGGATCTAACAATACCGTTGCACTGCTGGCTGCATCTGTTTCTGCTGGACTGTTTCCGTTTGGCTCTCCTGGGGCCCAGTTTCTGAAAACGCCGGATAAAAACACGGAAAATGTACAAAACCGATAAGTCGAGTTGGCACCATTTGACCAGGCAACCCCACTCGTCGTTGTCACATTGTTAATTCCCAATAACATTTGCTAAAGCTCAAAGTTAAAAAGAAATTTTGAAGACAACTCACACTATAAAAGAAATTTCCAAACGTTGAACATTGAGTCTTCAAAGCAGCTGGTACAAGATCTAAGACCTATTTTCAAAACAATCACCACTCAATCACTAACTGGCAACTCCTGTATTCTCCGAATCACATCGAATCGTGCCCAAGTCAGCATTGGGATTCAATGCCTGACATTTGGCTCTAGCTCCACCAATGTAAGAGTCATTGATGAAGATTGCTTGATAACACGATCCACCGACATCAATGAAGCCACCACCAACAGCTGCACAATCGGCATAGGTTGTGGTGGGTACCTGGAGATGTTGATCCTTTTGCTTTCAAATAGGCTAGAGCCATTCTTGAGAAGCTACTTAAGCAACCTCATTTATTATGTGAAACATAACAACCTAATTGCCTATATTCTGTTTACCGAAGTTGTGACACATGGTAGCGCTGGTGTCGTTGTGGTCGTAGTTGTGGTTGTTGTCGTTTTCTTTGTGGTTGTCGTTTTTGTCGCCGCGGTACACGGCCGCAATCCACAACCAGTTCCCGTCTTTGCCTGAAATCGAATGGTACTGGGTAGACTTGTCTAACGGTACTTAGAGTCCACTTAATTCAATATCTTTGGGTTTTGTTTCGGCGACTCACCGTGATCACTTCACAGAGAGCAGCACAAACCACCCAATCTGGTGGCGTGTTTTCCCATTTTCCCAGTGGATACGTCACTCCACCAGCTGGATTTGTTGACGCAATGTAGAGCTGAAAGAGGATTTTTGATGATAACAGAGCAAATACAAGTGCTAGTTCATTACAACTGGTACAGTTAAAGTCCTTTAGAAAAGTGTTAGTGTCGATACCGTTGCACTGCTGACTGCATCGACCGGACTTCCGTTTGGCTCTCCTGGGGCCCAGTTGCTAAAAAACTTTCACAAAAAGCACTCGTAAATGTGAAACCGATAAGTCGTATTGGCTCCATTCGTCCAGGAAATTCCACTAGTTCTTGTCACATTATTGATTCCCAACAACAGTTGCTAAAACTCAGTTGCTAAAGTTCGATCGCACTTGCTAATCGACTCACACTGTGGAAGAACTCTCCAAACGATAAACATTGAGTCTTCAGAGCAGCCGACACAACACCTAGAAGCCATTTGAGTGAATCAAAGACTGGAGACAAACCAGAAGCTCCCGTGTTCTCCGCATCACATCGAATCGTGGCCAAGTCCGCATCCACATGAGCAGCCTTACATTTGGCTCTTGCTCCAGCATAATCGGCATTCACATAAATTGCCTTGTAACACGATCCACCAACAGCTTTGAAGCCAGCACCAACAGCGGCACAATTCGCATATTTTGTGGATGAGGCCTAGGAAGAGATGTTTTTGAGAGACTTCACATCACTTACATAATGAGTGAAGCACGGTAGAGCTGGGGTCTTTGTGGTCGGCTTCTTCGTTGTCTTCGTTGTGGCCCTTGTCGTAGCCTTTTTGGTTGTTGTCTTAAATAGTTCTTTAGCTACAAATTAGTGTAGGTTAGTTTAATGGGGAAAAGTAAACAGTGTACTCTAGTAAACAGTGTACTTGTAAGTTGCAAGTATGTGTAACCATAGAACTCGGATGCTTTCAAATGTTTCCCTAACTCTTCCAACAAACCGTGCATAAGGGCATTTGCAAAACGGGATCCTGGGGCAGGCCGACACCGCAAAGCCTTTTGCCAGTCACAAGATTCGTCACCTAATCCAAAAAGTGATTGGCTCTTAACATAAGGCTCCTAACCGCTTTTGTGTCCAATGCACACACATCTCCTGGACAGGCGAGTTTGGGACAATGAATCGTTCTTGTTGAGGAGCCGCTAAATGAATGGAGATATTGATGGATGTTAGAGTCGGAGTGGTAGACGAGGTAGAGTGAAGCGACTTAAAAACTCACGTGCATTTGTGGCCTTTGCTTTGAGACAAGCAAGTTCTGTTCTGAGTGACCATTCCGTTGAGTCCACAGGTTGCCGTGCATGGTGCCATCGATTTCCAGCCACTCCAAATGCCAAGATTTGGAAAAGCACAGTGTGCGAGGACTTCTGAAAGCATTTCTTTCAGATCTACCTTCAATGTATTACTTGTGATTCGACACTTTGGCATCACATAGTCACTCGGCAGAGACACATTTCCACAGAGAACTTGATTGAGTTTGGAGTTGGGGTACTGAAATGGTAAATTCTGTCTTTTTAGCTGTCTGGTAGAACTTTAGCCAATAAACGAAAAACTTACGAGTGAATATCCCTCAGCACAGGCATTCGAGCCATCAGGACATGGCTTCGGAGCACATGGTCTTGTTCGAGAATATGGTCCCCTGGAAAGATTTGAATGGTTGTTTTTTGTTCAGTTACTCACTTGCATGGACATCCCCATTTCCATGAGAGACACGTCCTCTTTTGAACTTTTCTTCCGAATAAACCACACGTGCCTGTACAGCTCGTATAGTCTTCCCACCTTGACCAGTGGCCTGGAATTTGTTGCTTGATCACTTGTTGATGTTTTTGTTAAGTTTAAAAGATTTACCAGCTGCTGGACACTTTGAACAAATGGGGAGAGAGGCTAGCGTGGTGCTTGCTGAAAGATCACTAACATCGCTGTGTTCATCTTGAGTTGTAATTTAGCTAGCTAAGGAGAATAATCAGAAGTTAACTTCAAGTTACTTACACAAAGTCTGGTGTACTGCTTCAGTTCTTCAGTAACCCTTGAAACAAGAGTTACTTGCAAGTTACTTTCTTACTTGTTACAAGCTTTTCAGAACTGACGATAGATTACAAGTTGCATATTTAGATGACACTACAATTATAGTGTCTTATGTTTATAAACAAGCTGTTCACCTCAAAACCTACCATATAGCCCGATCACAGCACAGATGATGAGCATGTTGGAATGAGCAATAAGTTGATCGAGTGACTCTTGTCTAGGTGACTCTGATGACTGATCTACATGCCTTTGACGCCTTTCACCCCTTTTATAGATGAATTCGAAAGAGATTTTGAACCTCAATAGCAAATTTGATTCAAATTCAAAGTCCATTGTTATAAAGTCCATTGAAAGGGACTACAATAGCCCGATCAAAAGTCGAGGTGATCGATTTTCGATCAACGTGAATTTTGAAACTGGAAAATTTTGCTTCCCAGTCAGGACAATGACTTTTATAACAATGGAATGAAAAGGAACAATTGATTTTTTAAAAAATTCAATCGGAATGGTGTAATTTCAGCGCCAGGATTGACCAGGAAGGAGATTTTTCATCGTGCAAGCTTCTACGGACTGTCAAATAGACTGGGACATTGTTTGAACTCACGCAGTCAATGGATTTTATGAAAGACTATAGACATTTGTGTTCTATCTTTTGCTAAGGTCGCACTTTGATAACCGGGAAAGCACCCAGAACGAGAATCTTAAATGTCGTTGATTAAACGATAAATTTAATTTCAGCCATATATGCGCTGTTATGTTATACTATACGTCGGCTGTTATACTATTCTTTGGTGTCCACGTTCAAAGCATCACCACAATGGATCAACAACTTCAAGAGGATTGCTGGAGTCGTACCCGCCGCGTTACCGCAATCAAGAACTTCCGGGCAAAGGCGGACATAGAAGGTGAGGCCAACAACTTTGTGAATAATGTGAGGGCCGACCTTCAAGCAAACGTCGTCCTACGCTCCTGTCTTGCCAATGCCGATCAATCAGGCTTTTTGAAAGAACAGCACTCATCTCGATCCCTAGCCTACCATGGAGAGAAGAAAGTCATCCGCATGATTGGTGCATGTAATAAGATTTGATTGGTGCATGTAATAAGATAAATTGCGATAATATGCCGTACATTCGTTGTGCTTATTGTCTGAATATATTCTCCTTCCTTCATTTTGTCGAATCTTTCCACCGTTGTTGAATTGTTTGTTATTTCTTAGTTTTAAATAAAGTTTTGTTATCCTCACCTTTTATGGTAAAAAAAATCAGAATTAACTTTGAGAAGCGAAAAAAATAGAACGCACATTAAAAGTTTTGCAAAAAAAGAAAAACTTTTGGGGTGGAGCCGAATCAGCGACACTCGGACTCGGTCGCGCTCCTAACCACTCGGCCACTCGGCTAACCTGTGAGAGTGCCTGTGAGAGTTCCCTTTAAAGAGTGCCGTGCAAGTCCCAAAAATGTTTAAGTTTAAGCTACTTTGAACTTTGAACTTTGAAACCTTATATTTCAGTTAGTTCTGGCATTTAGCAGCTAAAAATCTCAGAAAATTCTTCTTTTGTGATGGTCTTTCCCCCCTGTAATTTTGGAGTCGATCTGAGGTGGTAAGTAGTTGTAGTTCCCTCGTTAGCACTGTTGTATGATCAACCCCTAACTCTTCTCCCAATTCACGCGATGCCACCCGATGGTCGTTGATAATGAGTTCGAGTAATTTGGAATCATCCAGTTGGGGTGCCGCTCCACGACCGTCTGCATCTTTCAAAGATCTGTCCCCAGAACGCAACTTGGTAAACCATACTTGCCACCTCTGTCTGTCATATGTTGATGACACTTGCCTTTATCTGTTTTTGAGTGTTGGCAGTAGCGGCACCCGAGCCGACGTATAGTATAACATAACAGCGCATATATGGCTGAAATTAAATTTATCGTTTAATCAACGACATTTAAGATTCTCGTTCTGGGTGCTTTCCCGGTTATCAAAGTGCGACCTTAGCAAAAGATAGAACACAAATGTCTATAGTCTTTCATAAAATCCATTGACTGCGTGAGTTCAAACAATGTCCCAGTCTATTTGACAGTCCGTAGAAGCTTGCACGATGAAAAATCTCCTTCCTGGTCAATCCTGGCGCTGAAATTACACCATTCCGATTGAATTTTTAAAAAAATCAATTGTTCCTTTTCATTCCATTGTTATAAAAGTCATTGTCCTGACTGGGAAGCAAAATTTTCCAGTTTCAAAATTAGCGGTGATCGAAAATCAATCAAATTCTAGACTCCTTTTCGGGCTATTGTAGTCCCTTTCAATGGACTTTATAACAATGGACTTTGAATTTGAATCAAATTTGCTATTGAGGTTCAAAATCCGTTTCAAATTCATCTATAAAAGGGGTGAAAGGCGTCAAAGGCATGTAGATCAGTCATCAGAGTCACCTAGACAAGAGTCACTCGATCAACTTATTGCTCATTCCAACATGCTCATCATCTGTGCTGCGATCGGGCTATATGGTAGGTTTTGAGGTGAACAGCTTGTTTATAAACATAAGACACTATAATTGTAGTGTCATCTAAATATGCAACTTGTAATCTATCGTCAGTTCTGAAAAGCTTGTAACAAGTAAGAAAGTAACTTGCAAGTAACTCTTGTTTCAAGGGCTACTGAAGAACTGAAGCAGTACACCAGACTTTGTGTAAATAACTTGAAGTTAACTTCTGATTATTCTCCTTAGCTAGCTAAATTACAACTCAAGATGAACACAGCGATGTTAGTGATCTGACGAATCTTGTGACTGGCAAAAGGCTTTGCGGTGTCGGCCTGCCCCAGGATCCCGTTTTGCAAATGCCCTTATGCACGGTTTGTTGGAAGAGTTAGGGAAACATTTGAAAGCATCCGAGTTCTATGGTTACACATACTTGCAACTTACAAGTACACTGTTTACTAGAGTACACTGTTTACTTTTCCCCATTAAACTAACCTACACTAATTTGTAGCTAAAGAACTATTTAAGACAACAACCAAAAAGGCTACGACAAGGGCCACAACGAAGACAACGAAGAAGCCGACCACAAAGACCCCAGCTCTACCGTGCTTCACTCATTATGTAAGTGATGTGAAGTCTCTCAAAAACATCTCTTCCTAGGCCTCATCCACAAAATATGCGAATTGTGCCGCTGTTGGTGCTGGCTTCAAAGCTGTTGGTGGATCGTGTTACAAGGCAATTTATGTGAATGCCGATTATGCTGGAGCAAGAGCCAAATGTAAGGCTGCTCATGTGGATGCGGACTTGGCCACGATTCGATGTGATGCGGAGAACACGGGAGCTTCTGGTTTGTCTCCAGTCTTTGATTCACTCAAATGGCTTCTAGGTGTTGTGTCGGCTGCTCTGAAGACTCAATGTTTATCGTTTGGAGAGTTCTTCCACAGTGTGAGTCGCTTAGCAAGTGCGATCGAACTTTAGCAACTGAGTTTTAGCAACTGTTGTTGGGAATCAATAATGTGACAAGAACTAGTGGAATTTCCTGGACGAATGGAGCCAATACGACTTATCGGTTTCACATTTACGAGTGCTTTTTGTGAAAGTTTTTTAGCAACTGGGCCCCAGGAGAGCCAAACGGAAGTCCGGTCGATGCAGTCAGCAGTGCAACGGTATCGACACTAACACTTTTCTAAAGGACTTTAACTGTACCAGTTGTAATGAACTAGCACTTGTATTTGCTCTGTTATCATCAAAAATCCTCTTTCAGCTCTACATTGCGTCAACAAATCCAGCTGGTGGAGTGACGTATCCACTGGGAAAATGGGAAAACACGCCACCAGATTGGGTGGTTTGTGCTGCTCTCTGTGAAGTGATCACGGTGAGTCGCCGAAACAAAACCCAAAGATATTGAATTAAGTGGACTCTAAGTACCGTTAGACAAGTCTACCCAGTACCATTCGATTTCAGGCAAAGACGGGAACTGGTTGTGGATTGCGGCCGTGTACCGCGGCGACAAAAACGACAACCACAAAGAAAACGACAACAACCACAACTACGACCACAACGACACCAGCGCTACCATGTGTCACAACTTCGGTAAACAGAATATAGGCAATTAGGTTGTTATGTTTCACATAATAAATGAGGTTGCTTAAGTAGCTTCTCAAGAATGGCTCTAGCCTATTTGAAAGCAAAAGGATCAACATCTCCAGGTACCCACCACAACCTATGCCGATTGTGCAGCTGTTGGTGGTGGCTTCATTGATGTCGGTGGATCGTGTTATCAAGCAATCTTCATCAATGACTCTTACATTGGTGGAGCTAGAGCCAAATGTCAGGCATTGAATCCCAATGCTGACTTGGGCACGATTCGATGTGATTCGGAGAATACAGGAGTTGCCAGTTAGTGATTGAGTGGTGATTGTTTTGAAAATAGGTCTTAGATCTTGTACCAGCTGCTTTGAAGACTCAATGTTCAACGTTTGGAAATTTCTTTTATAGTGTGAGTTGTCTTCAAAATTTCTTTTTAACTTTGAGCTTTAGCAAATGTTATTGGGAATTAACAATGTGACAACGACGAGTGGGGTTGCCTGGTCAAATGGTGCCAACTCGACTTATCGGTTTTGTACATTTTCCGTGTTTTTATCCGGCGTTTTCAGAAACTGGGCCCCAGGAGAGCCAAACGGAAACAGTCCAGCAGAAACAGATGCAGCCAGCAGTGCAACGGTATTGTTAGATCCGAATTGAGAGCACGCATAAAACTGTGACTAACTAAGAATTTGTAAACGTGAATGTAGAACATAAAAATAAGCTCTTAAAATATAAAAGAACTTGCATTGATTTGAACTTATTGGTGAAGGGTTGCGGGTAAACAATAGGTCCAATTTTTGTATTTGCTCTGCTCTGATCAAAATATTTCTTTCAGTTCTACATTGCGTCCACAGATCCAGCTGGTGGCACGTATCCGCTGGGACAATGGGAAAACATGCTACCAACTTGGGTGGTTTGTGCGACTCTCTGTGAAGTGATCACGGTAAGTTCTTGAAAAGAAAAAGAAAGAGAAAAGCTGCCCGTTGACAACTGCATTGAAAAGCTGTTGATTCTAGGCAAAAACCGGAAATGGTTGTGGCTTCTCACCGTGCCAGAATGGTCCGTAAGATCCAATAATAAACTCTTCTTAAATATGTGCTAATAAATTGTTTTTCGAGTTTTT